CATCACAAAATATTCATTAAGCACTAGTAATCTTGCATTTTATCAAACAAAAGTTATTTCTGACTAAGGTACAGAGTATATAACACATGCCCTCACAAATATGATCCTGAATGTTCTAAGACATTTTATTCCATGAAACTCCTAATATCACCTCAAAAAAGTGAAGAATTAAAAAATAAACCATCTTTCCAGAAATTTAAGTGGGAATGAATGGTGACAAATGGACAACTTCTTTCACCACAATCTTCGAGAGAAAAAAAAATGCAGAGCAAATATAGAGAACTCTAGACAGGGAGCAGATTACCAAATCCAAATTCAACCCCAAATGTACTTGCCAGGTAGGTAACGATTCTGGAGTTAGCCCGCTCCTTTCTCAAGGCTTGCAGCCACCTCATGGGTAAACAGTATGCCCACTACTTACCTTCATTCAATCAGCTGTCATATGAAAGTCTTAAGTATTTGCATGGAAGTGTGCTAAGTGCTCTGTGGTTACAGAGATAAACATGGCATGGTTCCTGTTTCCAGTGATACTTTTAAATATAAGCGTGCATGTAGACATTTGTGTATGTGTGCACAATTCACAAATTTACAGTTTTAAGAAAGAAGGAAGACATGTACACAAATGATTTTCACATAAGGCGGAATCTGCCAGGGACTGATAAATGAAGTCCAAGGTTCCCAGGGCGTGTACAGGAGACAGTGATCACCATTTCACTCAGTGAGAGATTTCACCTGTGTTCTACATAACTTATTTCTAGGGTAAAGTTACTTATACTACTCTACTACTTATGTTTTTTTGTTTCTCAGACCTCTTAAATTTCTGAAATGTAATTAGAACAAAAAATGTGTCCAAGAAAAACAATTGAGAAAGACTCTGGTTGAACTGCTAGAAATATCAGTCATTCAGAAATGCTTCATAAATATATGACTGTGTATACTCCGTATCTATTTAACCTAGCATTTTCCAAATTCATTTGTATATAGAACACTTTTTTCATGGCACATATATTAACGTTCCATCAAAATCACAGGTTGGAAAACAATGAGTCACAGTACATAAGCTTTGAAAAAAAAAAAGTAATTGTTTCTCCAAAACCTTCAAATCATTGCAAACTATATGAGGGCAGCTCAAAATGTTCATGGAAAAATAGAATAAAAAGATAACACAAATCTTTCCATAACCTTTTGGAAGAACTCTCATATATGAACACACACAAGGGATCTTCAAAAAGTTCATGGTAAATACATTTCATGAAAAAACTATGCATGGCCGGCCCGGTGGCGCACTGCTACAGTGTGCAGCTTGGGAGTGCGGCGGCGATCCCGCCGAGGGTTTGGATCCCACATACAGACCGGTTCCCGCTCACTGGCTGAGCGAGGTGCGGGCGCAGCACCGAGGTTTGCGATCCCGTTGCCGGTCCCGGTCCGGTATGGGCGCGACACTGAGGGTTGCGATCCGTTGCCGGACACGAAAAAAGACAAAAAGGAAAAAAAAGAAAAAAAGAAAAAACTATGCATGGATTTCAAAATCTTTTTGCACTGAAATAAACTCATACTAACATGTACAGCATGTCTGATCAGGATCTCGCTTGAGACAGG